GTCCAGTTCATACAAGAATGGGAGAATAAATACTTGATTCTTTTATTAACTCCAGGGTGGTTCTACTTTTTCTTCTACTGTTTTCCCCAGAAATGTCAACAGCCCAAGACCAAATTCTTCATTTCTCAGGCTAGAAATTACAAAGCATGTGGGATTTGGACTCTAAATTTGGATTCTAACCAAATCCTGGCATTGGTTTAGAATTTCTCCTTCTACCAGGACGTACCCCTCTCATCTAGAGTCCATGACGCAAATGCCTCCTTACCACTTGCTACCACAAAACCAACATCTTTGATTTGTTATAGCCTACTATAAAATAAGCCTTTCCTATCAGCAATTTTAAACATGGGATTTACAGGTAGCATTTATTTCCTGCAGATGCTTGGAGACCCCAGAACAAAACAGGCTAAAATCTGCTGCTAGTTGAATAAACTGAGTTGAAACACTATAGTCTATTAAAAACAAGTTACAACTACACCAGTTGACTTGGGAGAAAATATAAACAAACCATAGAAAATGAAAAAAAAAAAAAACAAGACATAAAATATACACAACTGATTTTAATGAAAAATGGGAAAAGTGCCAACATATATGTACTTGCATATATGTATATATGAACTGTCAAGACCCAGACAGTAAACATGAGTGTGGAGAAAGACACACAAGGGGACACACCACAGTACCGATCTGGTCATGCGGTACTGACAAGAGGCTTTCCTTAGAGAAACAGGAGATGGGATCCATGATTCAAAATGAATCATGTCCAAGTGATGGGATTTCAGGTGGTTTTCATTCCTTACCATACTTTTATGCATTGCTTAAATTTTTTTCTAGACAACATACATTTTTCACATCAGAAAAAACTTTATTTTCATTGTAATTTTTAAAAATTTTAAATGAAAAGCAGAGCACACTCTCTCTAAAAAAAAACTGGCCGGGCACAGTGGCTCAAGCCTGTAATCCCAGCACTTTGGGAGACCAAGGTGAGAGGATTGCCTGAGCCCAGGGGTTCAAGACCAGCCTGGGCAACTTGATGAGGCCTTGTCTCTACAATAAATCAGAAAATTAGTTGGGCTTGGTAGCGCGCACCTGTAGTTCCAGCTATTTGGAAGGGTGAGGCGGAAGGATTGCCTGAGCCCAGCAGGTCAAGGCTGTGGTGGCCATGAGTATGCCACTTTACTCCAGCCTGGGCGACAGAGTGAGACTCCAACCAAAACAAACAAACAAACAAACAAAAAAACTGACTGATAAAATTCTCAGCAACTAACCTCTGGATAGCATTCTGCAGCTTAATTAAGAACTATATCCACACTATTTTGTTATGTATAACATTTTATAGAGACTTAACAAACGATTACACAAAGAATTAATCTATTTTCCAAGTTTTTAGTATGTGTGAAAACTATATCTCATAAAAAAATAATTTAAAATTAGAAAAGTGCCAACAGACTTTGTATATAGATCCTGTTACTATAACAGTTTTGACTTTGAGAATGTAATGAGGAAAATAAATATAAAAACCTTGACATGTAACTTAGAGCATAAAAATACGAATAGACTACTTACAGCCATGGTTTGCCTTGTCAACTTAACCAACACTGTAACTAAGGATCCTACTGTGATGTTGTTGCTATCTTCATCATCCAATACTGTAACAAGGCAGAAAAAAATAGTGCAAAAAATAAAAATCAATTTCTACATCAACACAAAGCAGAATTTATCTTACCCAAATCAATTTGGGACTTCAGTATTTCTAGTATGTATTTTAAACTTATTAAAAAATAATTGTCGACTCTGTATAAGGCTCTCTTTATCAGTACAGGCCTTCAAAAACTGACCCACCTATCCTTCAGATGGCCCTACAAAGTACATTATTTCCATTTCAAAAAAGAGACTGAGGCCCGGTGCAGTGGCTCACACCTGTACTTCCAGCACCTTGGGAGGCTGAGGTGGGAAGATCACTTGAGTCCAGGAGTTCAAGACCAGCCAAAGCAACAAAGCAAGACCTCATCTCTACAAATATCAAAAAATAAGCTGAGTGTGGTGGCATGTGCCTGTAGTCCCAGCTACTTGAGAGGCTAAGGTGGAAGGACAACTTGAGCCCAGGAGGTTGAGGCTGTGGTGAGCCGTGAGTGTGCCACTGCACTCCAAACCCTGGCTCAAAAAAATAAAAAGATGAAGAAAAGGAAAGAAACTGTGGTTCAGAAATAAAGAACCCAAGTCACAAAACAGCCACATTAGCACACCAAGTTGCAAACTCAGGTCTTTGAAACCACAGTAAAATGTGAAGACAACCATAAATAACAAGATCTCTTCTATAGTAATATTATATAGTATTCTGTCACTTGATTAAACTGTGCAAAGCTTATATTACCAAGATTTTTACCTGTATGATCTTTGCCTGTCAGAATAACATAATAAAAACTAGTAATCTGAACCACATTAAAGAGATTTATTTGTTTACATGCAAGAATTTCAATATATTCTCTTCACATTAAAAAGCACTTAAATTTTTTTTCAATAAACAGTACTAAATACAAATGATTTTGCAGTTATTTTATTTTTTAAACCATATTTACTACATACATCCCCCAAAAACCTACTAATAAAATCAAAGTTAATAAATAAAATAGGCTGAGCACGGTGGTTCACACTTATAATCCCAGCACTTTGAGAGGCCTAGAGGATCCTCTGAGCCCAGGAGTTTGAGACCACCTGGGAAACACAGAGACCTCATCTCTACTAAATAAAAAAATTAGCTGGGCAAAGTGGTATATGCCTGTAGTTCCAGCTACTTGGAAAGCTAAGGAAGCAAACACGTGAGCCCAGGAAGTAGAGGCTGCGGTGGTCATGACTGAGCTACTGCACTCCAGCCTGGGTAACAGAGACCCTGATTCAAGTTAAATAATTAAATAAATATAAAACATAACTTAAACATACCTTCTATTCAAATGTGGGCATTAATTCATTTTTCTACAGATTCTATCTGTAAGAGATTTCTTCATTATATATTTCTGCCTATAGTTTTTTTTAAATTTAAGTTTGTTATACTTATTTTTCACAGATTTAGATTAGCACACTATCTTTTGGCCTTTATTAACATAACACCAGTTAGAACAGAATGGCCTCCAACAACCTAGAACTGCTATATTCATTACCAGTTATGAGACGCAGCAGCTGAACATCAACATTCTGCACCCTGGAAGTCTCCATTATCAAAAATCAAATCAGGTCGGGCGTGGTAGCTCACACCTGTAATCCCAGCCCTTTGGGAGGCAGAGGAGAGAGGACTGTCTGAGCCCAGGGGTTTGAAACCTGCCTGGGAAACTTGGCGAGACCTGGTCTCTACAACTTATCAAAAAATTTGGGCTGAGGTGAGTGGATTGCCTGAGCCCGCTGGTTCAAGACCCGCCTGGGCAGGTGAGACCTCATCTCTACAATAAATCAAAAATTCAGCTGGTTGTGGTAGCACACGCCTGTAATTCTGGCTACTTGGAAGGCTGAGGCGGAAGGATCGCCGGAGCCCAGCAGGTCGAGGCTGCGGTGACCGGGAGCGGCCACTGCACTCTGGTGTGGGCGACTGAGTGAGACTCCAACTCAAAAAAAAAAAAAAAGAAAAAATTTGCCGGGCATGGTGGCACGTGCCTGTAATTCCAGGTACCTGGAAGGCTGAGGCAGAAGGATCGCCTGAGCCCAGCAGGTCGAGGCAGTGGTGGCCATGAGTGTTCCACTGCACTCTAGCCTGGGCGACAAAGTGAGACTCAGACTCAAAAAAAATCTAGGCCACATATTCAGCTACAAAGTTGTACATGCCTGAACACATCATGTGAAATAGCTGTATCGATGCCTACCTGTCACTTGATGCTTTAAAGTGAAGAAAGGCCTACAGGAGAGCCTATACAGCTCCTAGCAATGTGGGAAACTCAATTAATATAAGTTGAATTAAAAAAACTAATTTTAGAATTAAGCAGCTATTTGTTTCACACCCATAATATATCTCAAATCTCTCATTCTTTCATTATACCTGGAAATCTCCTTCATTCTTTGAAAAGTTAAGAAATAGCTAAAAGTTGAACTACAGAACAGAGGGAGTCCATTACGAGGATAACAAAACTAAGTATATACTATTTTCCAACACAGTAAATCTGACAGGTAAACTACAGTTCTGCAAAGTGTAATAGCAAGTTACGTTATTTAATAACGTGTTTTGAGAATCTTGAGTCAAATAAATGAGAACCAACCTATCAAAAGGGAAGTCACGTTCAACAGGAAACCTTCCACGTACCTTGTGATTTGATGTCCATGGTCACATATGGAAAACTCCCAAGGACAGCCATAACCTCTTCATATTTTTCATCTTCAAGGAAATGCAGTAGGCTGTGACGATCTGATTCTTTTAAACTCACCAAATCCTGGATCGTTTTAATTTTATACTGAAATTAAAAAAAAAAATTTCTAACTCATACAAATTTTCATGAAATCATTAGCATGTTAAACTAAATGAAATCCAGCAACTTTTAGAAAAAATTTAAGATTGCTGCATTTCAAAGCAAAAAATGGCATTTTCAATTTCATGAACTTTTTCTCCAAGAAAGTTTAGATTTTTTAAAATTATGAATTTAATACAGGCTTTTTTAAAATTAGAAATAATAAACTTAAAAGAAAAGACACTCATGTAGAATCTTGACCCAAGCAAGAACTATTGTCAATTGGTGTCTTCAGCAGTTTATTTATTTTCAATTTTAGTAATAAGTCTGTAAGAATAAACCTCTAAGTACAGCTGCACCCTAAAGGTTTTACTACGCAATATTCTTGCTTTTGCTATTTTAAAAATATAGCTGGATGTAATAATATCCACCTTGGCTAAATGGTTACTCAGGAGTGTTCTTTAATTTCCAGATGTGTAATGCACTAATTTTTTACCTTCAAAGACAGGGATTATTAGATCACAAGGAATGTGAAATCCCTGCTTTTGGCCCTGCTTTTGGATTCTCAAATTTTAACTATGATTTAGCATATGATCAAATATATAAGGGTAACACAATTACTTGAAAGGACAGAGAACTCTGATACAAATTTCTAATACACATTTATTAATTTTACCTTAATATACTAAGAAATCTAATCTCTATCTTCTCACTTTATCTACTATATATAATATTTAAAATCTCCTACTAGAATTAGAATGCCATTTTGTTTCTTATATTTCCTCAAATTTTTCATTTAATGCATTTTTTTTGCTATATCTTAAGATTAATCATTTCTCTAAATAAGAACTGCCTTTGTTCAATCTATTAATTTTTTAATGCTTTTTTTGTTCATATTCAACCAGTAAACAACCATTCAACCTTTAAACCAAGAATGAAATGACTGGAAGGCATACAGTGAATCTTTACTTAGTACATTTATTTTTGGTAACATAATATAAGGAAGAAAGTGCTAACTGCTAAAATGCACTGACCCTCCAAACAGTAACATTATTTAAAGCAGTAAAATATTATAAAAACAGCTAATCAAGAAAATGTTAACAGAACCACTTGAGAGACTGTTTTAGAATATTTAATACATTCTAAATCTAAGACATTCATAGTAACCATTTCTAGAAAACTTTTTACTCAAGTTACCTTTAAGTGACCCAACAAACTACTGAATAATGACTTTAAAGTAGCAAAGAATTACCTTTTTATGATTCGAAACCCTCCTAAGGTTGTCTTCTTCAATGTGAGGAAGCTGCAGAAGGGGAGACTTAAACTGCTGAAGTCCCTGAACAGCCATCTGGGAAAGTTTCATGCAGTTTTCTAGAGACGCCAAAGTTGGAGCGCGAAACTCCCTTTCTTAGAAAGAATAGGAAAAAAAGAAACAACAGGGCTGGACTTTTTACATGTTCAGAAATATACAATTCATCACCAATTCATCCTAACATTCTTAATACCTCAAATTTTAAGATGGTGCTGATTTTCTTTTAAAAATTATCAGATAAGACACTAAAAACATGCAAACTTGAACAAATATACATTATCCAGCAACAACCACTGATTTAATAGTAAAATTCTTTGCATCACTCCAGTAACAGTAAATTATCAGATATGATTAATATTATGAATATACTGACAATATCCATAACAAACCACAACCACTATCTCCTTTTTCAAGGGTCTTCCTTTCTATTACTGACCACATATCCCCTCTTTCTTTTCCTTTCATACAGAAAAATTACATGTCAACTGAATCATCATTACATCAGTTACAGAATTATTTCAAACTCTCACCATTCAAAAACAGAATAACCCAACTCCAAAAATATTCAGAGGAAGGAAAAAGATTTTTTAAATCTTTGCAAAGCAAACAGTAACACAATGAAAAGAATTAAAACAAAACAAGATGAGTTGTTGTAAAGACTTTGCATAATAGAAAATTTAGGAAAGAAATAAGAAAAATCATGAGCAAAATTCAGAAAGCTTATTGAACTAGTAGAGAGAAGTAGTAAATACCCATAAATCTTAAAACTTTACAGTGCAACTTGCATATGCTTGCAAGGAAAAGTACAACATAACGAATTTTGTTTCTTCCTCACCTTCACGGCTCCGAGCCATTATTATCAGTTGGCAGATTACATTAACCATTTCTTGAAGGAGGGCAGGGCACTTTTTCAGCATAAACTGCTGATCTGCAAAACAATCAAAAACCTGAAGCAAATCATTCTAATTTTATAGTTAAAGCATCTTTATCACCTGTAGCCCAAAACTAATACTAAACTTAAGTTGTCCCACAAATTCCATATTTCACATGATCTCAGAATTTCATAGGTCGAATGGAAGAGTTTCTCCTGAGAATCATTATGTCAAAAAATCAGAGAGCCCTAGTTCAGACTAGATGTTTCAGAGGTAAATTTTTAATATTATGGTGATAGGCTTAATAAATCAACTCCACTGGGCAGAGTGGCTCATGCCTGTAACCCTAGCATTTTGGGAAGCCAAGGTGAGCGGATTGCCTGAGCCTAGGGATTCGAGACCACCCTGGGCAACTTGGTGAGACTTCATCTCTACAATAAATCAAAAAATTAGCTGGGGGTGGTGGTGCACTCCTGTAGTTCCAGTTACTTGGAAGGCTGAAGTGGAAGGATCGCCTGAGCCCAGCAGGTGGAGGCCGCAGTGGCCACGAGTATGCCACTACACTCTAGCCTGGGCGACAGAGTGAGACTCTGACCTAGATAGATAGATAGATAGATAGATAGATAGATAGATAGATAGATAGATAGACAGACAGACAGACAGACTCCATTGCTTTTTTCCCAAAATAGATTTAATCTTAAATTTAATCTTAATCTTTCTTTTTTTTTTTTTGAGTTAGAGTCTCACTCGGTCGCCCAGAC